TCTTTCTACTTATATTTCTCTCTATCTATCTATCTACTTATCTCTCTGTCTATCTATCTACTTATCTTTATCTCTATCTATCTATCTACTTATCTATCTCTCTATCTATCTTTCTACTTATATTTCTCTCTATCTATCTATCTACTTATCTCTCTGTCTATCTATCTACTTATCTTTCTCTCTATCTATCTACTATCTATCTACCTACTTATCTCTCTCTCTATCTATCTATCTACTTATCTTTCTCTCTATCTATCTCTCTATCTATCTATCTACTTTTCTTTCTCTCTATCTATCTACTTATCTTCCTATCTATCTATCTCCTTTGAGCGCGGGAGCCTTTTGCCCTTCCTCTTCCGTCTCCGATAGGCAGACTCGTGGCCGGAGAGCAGACAGTGGTTTCGCAATTCTCTCAAGGCCAGAAGACGCGCCTGAGTCTACCCTTGGAGAAAGTCTGTTACGTAGCACCCGCCTCCAACTGCTAGGAAATAGGCAACAGCGTTCGCGTGTGGACGACGACCGAATGCCCTTCGCCGTTGGGTCACCCGGCAGTAAACATGTGATTGGTGAGGGAAGGGAGTCCGTCCACGTCTTGGGTATTGCATATGTTATTGGCGTTGCTGGTGAGGATTAATAAAATCAGTCCTTTGTGCTGTGGTTATGATGTAGATGGGGAGTGTCGTATGGAGCATAGGCAAGATATGCAGTTTTATTTGCTTTATGTTGGAAATTGAGGCGCGAACCTTTCGTAAGATGTAAGGAAAGTTGAGTGGTATAATTTTTTTTTCTTCCTCCAGTTACTAATTTCAGTGGTAAAGAAAACTCCTCTCTCTCTTTCGGTCTCTTTTTTCTTTCTCCTTCTTTCCCTCCCTACCTCCCTGCCTCTGTCTGTCCCTCTTTCTCTCTTTCTCTCTCTCTCTCCCCTCTCTCCTTATCTTCTACCTTCCTTTTTTCTCCCCACCTTTCTCCCTCTTTTCTCCTTCGCTATCTACCTCCTTTCTCATTCATCTCACGTAGTACCAAGAGAGACACAGAAAGAGACAAGAAAAGGTCGTTTCTCGGAAGAAAAGAAGGTCTCAAGAGATACATTTGTCTTCTTGTAGGAGTACATGGAGATGCAGAGGCAGCGGGAGCAGACCCTGGAGCAAGTAGAAGTAGTATTACTTAGCCAGGACCTTTTAATGTTCTTTGTTTACCTAGTCTCTCTCTCTCTCTCTCGCTCTCGCTCTTCTCTCTCTCTCTCTCTCTCTCTCTCTCTCTCTCTCTCTCTTCTCTCTCTCTCTCTCTCTCTCTCTCTCTCTCTCTCTCTCTCTCTCTCTCTCTCTCTCTCTCTCTCCTTTAGTGAAAGCTATATTGGGGGTAAAATTTAATTCAATACAGAACTAAAAGAATATGAATACCTATATATTTTTTTTCGTTTCATATATAAACACCCTCTGCTCCATTTCCCTTTTTTTTCTTCTTCTTCTAATGAGGAGAGAAAAGAAATATTTTGTCCATTGCGTTATTAGTTCCTTCCTCAATTGCTTCGGTTCCTTAAAAGTTTCTGATCTGGTCAAGATTGTGAAAGGTTAAGATGCATTTTGGAAATTGGTTCGGGGTTACTTTTTGCTCACTTCGTCTTACTTTTTTATTTATGTTCTTTTACTCTAACTTTTTTTATCTTTCTTTCTCTCCCTCTCTCTTCTCTCTTTTCTCTCTCTCTCCCTCTGTTCTCTCTTTCTACTCTCTCTCTCTTCATCTCTTTCTCTCTCTCTCTCTTCTCTATATATATATAATATATATATATATATATTATATATATATATATCCCTCTTTCTCTTTCTCTTTCTTTCTCTTTCTCTCTTCTGTATGAATAACAGGTAGAACATGACAACATCATACACATCGTCATGCAAGCGAGTATTTGATCGTGCATAGAAAACCAGGCAAGCATGCATGAAAAAGTGAGAGAGAGAGAGAGAGAGAGAGAGAGAGAGGGGGGGGGGAGAGAGAGAGAGAGAGAGAGAGAGAGAGAGAGAGAGAGAGAGAGAGAGAGAAGAGAGAGAAGAGAGAAGAGAGAGAGAGAGAGAGAGGGAGGAGAGGGGGAGAGAGAGAGAGAGAGAGAGAGAGAGAGAGAGAGGAGAGAGAGAGAGAGAGAGAGAGAGAGAGAGAGAGAGAGAGAGAGAGAGAGAGAGAGAGAGAGAGAGAGGGAGGGAGAGAGAGAGAGAAGAGAGAGAGAGAGAGAGAGAGAGAGAGAGAGAGAGAGAGAGAAGAGAGGAGAGAGAGAGAGAGGAGAGAGGGTTGAATATCAGGCATGAACAGAAAGAAAGAGAGAGAGAAGAGAGAAGAGAGGGGGGGGGGGAGGAGGGAGGGAGAGAAGAGGAGAGAGAGAGAGAGGAGGAGAGAGAGGAGAGAGAGAGAGAGAGAGAGAGAGAGAGAGAAGAGAGAGAGAGAGAGAGAGAGAGAGAGAGAAGGAGAGGGAAAGAAGAAGAGAGAGAGAGAGATTAAAGAATAAGAATGAATGATAGACTAAGAGAAAGAGACTTGTCTCTATCTTTCTCTCTCTCTCTCTCCTCTCCCTCTCACTCACTTCCACTCTCACGCACTCACCTTTCCCTTTCCCTCCCCTCTTTCTTTTTTCCTATTATAATCTTTATATAAATAATTTTCAAGTATTGCTAATAAGATTTATTCCACGGTTCAATGGCAATAACTTAAATTATTCTATTTCTTCCATTAATTCCTAGTGTGGATCTTTTTCTTTTTTTTCATCTCAAAGGACTAACCAATATTATCATTCATAAAGGAATACAATTAAACACGAAGTAGCTACCGAGTTAACGTAAATCAACAAGCGAAAAAAAGAGAAGAGGGAGAGAGAGAGAGGAGAGAGAGAGAGAGAGAGAAGAGAGAGAGAGAGAGAGAGAGAGAGAGAGAGAGAGAGAGAGAGAGAGAGAGAGCGAGAGAGAGAGAGAGAGAGAGAGAGAGAGAGAGAAGAAGAAGAGGAGAGAGAGAGAGAGAGAGGAGAGAGAGGAGAAGAGAGAAGGAGAAAGAAAGAAAGAAAGATATAAAGATATATATAATCACATAAACCCTTATGTGATTCCTTTTAATCATGTACTGACTGCAAGCCTTAAAGATCTGCCTGAGTTGATTTGCCAATCTTGTTTCATTCTTTAGTAAAGTGTTCGCTATACTGAGGAGCGAACTGCATCCTCCTGAAGTGAGGAATGGCGAGGACAGGTGCTTCATTCGGGTCTTATAGGGCGTCTAGTCTCAGAAAAAAAAGGAAACTGGTAACTGTGGAGTACTCCGATTGGCCAAATCTCTGTTTGTTCTAATCGCTTGATATTTGATACCTATGCTCATATATGTTTTGTATATCTATAGGTTATATACAAATATTTTAAATGGTTTATCGAAATCTGCTACCTTCTATACTTTATTATTTTTTAAGATAAACAGCGAATCGGAGTACACCAGAGCTCAGGGTGAGTTGCCAATTTATGTTTTGAGACTGGACAGAGATGAGTGACGACTCCTCAAGTAACACTGTCGTATGTACAGTTTCTCTTTCTCTTGGTTCATCATTCCTTCTTTTTTTTAATCACTCTCTCTCTTTCCCTCCCTCCCTCTCTCCTCCCTCCCTCCCTCCATCCTCTCTGCTCTGCTCTTTCTCTCTCTCTATCTGCTCTCTCTCTCTCTCTCTTCTCAGTCTTCTCTCTCCTCTCTCTTCTACCTGCTCTGTCTCTGTCTGTCTTCTTCTCCCCTGCTTCTCTCTGCCCGATCTCTTCTCGTTCTTAGCGGTCGTCCATTTCTTTCTTCCTCTCATCTCCGCGTGGTTGTCGGCTCTCGATCTCCTCTCCGCTTCTTCGTCTCTCATCGTCTCTCTCTCCGCTC